ACCCGGGGTGTTAGCACCTGTTAGGGTCCCAACTATGGGTAAATAGTTAACCACCAAACTCTGGTGAAAACACTATGAAAGTGTAAAAATACGTTTTAATACCAGAAATACTTTGTAAAAAGTAATTATTACCAGCAATACATTTTTTGGAAAAAAAAAGATATTACCAGTAATAAATTTTTGAAAAAATTTTTACCAGCAATATTGGTAAAAAAAAAGACATTACCAGCTATACATTGTTTTAAGAAAAAATATTACTCGAAATGAAAATTTTGTCAGCATTAAATAACCCATTGAAGTTGATATGCCGTAAAACAAACCAAACGAAACCAAACCTAATGAAAAAAACAAAAAAACAAATTAAACTTACTTAAAAATTTCCAATATATATATCACCACTGATAAAACTACAACAAACCAACAATTAATTCAGTCAACGTATACATTGTTTTCACAACCACTACATTATCACCCCAATTAATATGCCATTTATCAAATAATAGTTCAGTTGAATCGCATATAGCACAAGATAAATCCTTACCAATAACACAAAAGTACTATATAATAAAAACTGAAAACCAATTACAAATGGTAGACGCATTAAGCATAAAAAGCAAACAACACATTACTAAAATGCTATAAAATATATGAACAAATGTACTAAATATATTTCGTTAACAAAACAAAAAACGATAGCCCGAAATCTTCCAAAGAAGTGATATTTGAGGATAATGTAACTGACAAATTTAAAAAAATATATTTGATTATGCCTTATAAATCTCAAAAATACAGACAATGGACAATTTAATAGAAATTTCAATATATTATTTTTTTATATATAACAAGAAAAATTTTAAGAAAAAGAAGTATGACAAAGTGGAAAAAGTTTTCGTGTGAAACGTTTCGTTCTTTGGGAATTCATGCTTGTTTTATGTTGATACGACAACGCATGCGCACAAACGAAAGAATGACGCTGAGAATTTTAAATTTACAAATAATTTTTTCTAATATGTGTTTTGGCTATTTAGCCCATTTTATTTATTATCACATTATGGGATATTTAATAACAAAAGTGATGGAAACATAAACGAAAAGAAAAAGAAAACTCCAAACATTTTTTTTTTGTTTTAGACGGTTCGTATAACGTTTGTCGGTCAGCTCATTCGAGAAATCTGAATAAATAAAACATGTTCTTCGGCAGGGATCAAACTAGTGTCACCAGATCATGGATAAACCACCACAGAATATGGCGAGCGTTTCCGCTCGCCCACAAGGAACGACACAATTCTGAATGGTTCTACTTTTTCTTTTTAGGAAAACACATTTTGTCATTCAGATATTTTTCTCGAAAGCTAATATCAGCTCAGTTTTGTATCCGATTCAAGCTTAGACAACACAAATTATATATATATATATATATATATATATATATATATATATATATATATATATATATATATATATATATATATAATATGTGTGTGTGTGTGCCTTGTGCCCATATATGGTGAATGAGAGAGTCATCATGCAGTATTGAATCTACTGTCATCTATAAAGTCTCTATCTCCGACATTGAACATTTTTCTTACCCATCACATATACACATTCATACGTATACATATACAGACACTTCTCGGTGGCTGAATGGTTGCAGCACAGTTGGCTATATGACGGTTCCCATAAGGGTTACAGGTTCGATTCCAATCAGAGAGCGCTTATTTTCTACAGAAAATTTTCGAACATTCAAGCCAGTAAATGTGAACTGCTCATCTATGGCTAGTAAATTCTTTTGATGACGTAATGAAGCTAAATTTAAAATATGATAAATAAATAAACTATTTTAAATGTTTTAAAGACGTGAATAAAAAATAATACTAATATGAAAAGGACTTTATGCTGAACATCACTGTAACAAACCTTGTACACGTAAACAGATTTAAAATGATGTAGCTTCTGTTTCTTAATACATAATCTAAGCTAAGTATTTTGTTAGAAACTTAGAAAAACATACTGAAATGTTATGTGATATCAGTCCTCTTATATGGCAAGTCAGGAAGCAATAGAAATGAAGTTCTACAGAAGGACGCTGGGAATACTATGGACCGAATATGTGAGCAACGGCGAAGTTTTAGAGAAAATGAAAACAAAATGGACATTATGCGTAACATTAGGAAGAGAAAGTTGAAATTTTTGGGATACATGATGAAGAAAGAGGGCTTGAAAAATTTGATACTCGCAGGACAGATTGAAGACAAAAGGGACATTGGAAAGCAACGCATAACCTACCTAGCGAGTTTGAGAAAATGGATAGCAGAACAGGCTTTAGAGGCGGTATCAAAAAGACAAAATATATTAAGAGCTAGGAAGGACACGAAATTGTGGATATCCATGATCGTCAACGTCCTAGAAGGACATGGTACATAAAAGAAAAAACCCCTCCCCCTATCTATCATTTTAAATCTCTTTATTAGCTATTTCAGTCTGTTCATTATCTATCTATCTATCTATCTATCTATCTAATTTTCTTCAATATCTATCTATCTATCTATCTATCTATCTATCTATCTATCTATCTATCTATCTATCAAATTTTCTTCAATATCTATCTATTTATCTTTCTATCTACCTCAGTCTGTTTATTATCTATCTATCTATCTATCTATCTATCTCAGTCTGTTTCTATCTATCTATCTATCTATCTATCTATCTATCTATCCATCTGTTTTTATCTTCTATCTACCTCAGTCTGTTTTATCTATCTATCTATCTATCTACCTCAGTCTGTTCATTATCTATCTATCTATCTATCATCTATCTCAGTCTGTTCATTATCTATCTATCTATCTATCTATCTATCTATTTCATTGTATCTGTTTATCTATCTATCTATCTATCTATCTCAGTCATTATCCTATCTATCTATCTATCTCTATCCATTATCTATCTATCTATCTATCTCTAGTCTGTTTATCATATCTATATCTCATTTCATTATCTATCTATCTATCTCTATCTATCTATCCTCTATCTAGTCTGTTCATTCTATCTATCTATCTATCTATCATTATCTATCTCTATCTCAGTCTGTTCATTTATTTATCTATCTATCTAATCTATCTATCTATCTCTGTTCTCTATCTATCTATCTATCTATCTATCTATCTATCTATCTATCCCAGTCTGTTCATTATCTATCTATCTATCTATCTATCTATCTATCTATCACTCAGTCTTTCATTTTCTATCGTCTTCTTTCTATCTCTATCCAATCTATGTATTATCTATACACTCTCAAAATAGACAAGCCACCTACAAGCATAAAATCTAACCAGTGCACCCACCATAATCAAGGTTTCATTTCTGTCGTCGACTTCAATGATTATCTCGCAAAATAACAACATTCCCATAAACAAGTGAATTCGTTAAGGACAGAGGGCTCCAGAAAATACTTCTGTAATTAATTTAACATCGGAAGGTTAATATAAAAAATGAATGAAAGGTGATTCATTGATTACCCCTGGTATTATATAAATCGTTTTTTGCTAAATATCTTTTCTCATTAAAAAAATATATGTGCTTACAACGAACTAGAAATATCTCTTTGAAGAAAAAGATTAGCAACAGAACGTCAAAGACGGCGACGACAAAGCCTATTTGAAGACCAAGATCACTTAATGGCACCGGGTATCTGAGTGCCACACATGAAAGGCTTGAACAAATAAGACTTCAATCTAATAAACGTAGGAATAAAGAACCTGATTAATTAAATGGTTCATTTTGCTCGTGGTGTAATTTTGTCTAAATGCAGATAAATATTGTATTTGTATAGATTATTAAATCTTAATAGGCAGATATATTTGTAAAAGAAATTTTGTCTAAATGCAGATAAATATATATAGTCTGTCTACATTTCCTCAAAGACACATGGCACAATTAGTCGTTGGTTAGATCCAGTGACAGGACCCCAAAAGTGTGAGTTCAATACCCGGTTAAGGCAGTGGAGAACTTTCAGAGGGAAAATTAACAAGAGATAACTGATAACTGACATCCATCAAACATGGCACGTAGAACCAGAACAATCTACCCCAGTGAGCGAAATAAAGGGTTCAGATCGACATTCCAACCACATGAAGAAGGCCAGAGCGTACAACAGCCGAGACGTTGTGATAAATATCGCGACAAAGATGAGGACAATAGTCCGAATAATGTAAATAATGTAAATATATATAGATTATTAAAACGCCTAAGGGAAGTAATCACTCCTAAATTTATTAACTTATGTTGATATACCTTCTTTCGCACTGCAGATGGGACAAGATATATCTAAATAAATACACATTGATAATTATTATATGGTTTGATATTGTGCAACAAGACAATTTCGACATTCACTCGTATAAAGGTTACAGTAACATTCATACATTCGGCGGGGCAAACAGAAACGTTTTTCATTAATGAATAACATATGATCAGAGAAGTGCAGTCAGTTCTGCCCAGAAAAAAATGTCAGATAAGTATGAAATGTACCCCGACGGGGAATGCTGATGACGTGTATTTGATTATCACCGTCAGGTGGCAAAATTCTTTTCCGAAAATTTTTTTGCCAAATAATTGGTTACTCGAGTGCAGCGGCGTCAGTTTTATGATAACAGAAACCGTGTCCTGTCGATTTATTCTTTCTTCTTCTTTTGTTTCGCTTATTATTTTTTTTTATTTGCTTCTTTTTCTTTCAATAGACGCTGACATATCAGCACAGGTTATGCGTTTCATTCATTTTTGATATTCACCTTGCGATGGTAAATTCATTACAGAACAATTTTCATGGAGCACCCTGCCTTTAACGAATTCACTGGAAATGTCATGCGAGATCATCACGCCAAACCTTGATCTACGGTGGGTGCACTGATTCTTTTATGCTTGTAAGTTGCTTGTCTATTTTGCGGGTGTAGCATAGATCATTGAAGTCAAAAGAAGACGACAGAAAAAGAAACCAGTGATAGCTAGCTAGCTAGCAAGATAATGAACAGACTGGGATAGATAGATAGATAGATAGATAGATAGATAGATAGATAATGAACAGACTTAGATACATAGATAAAGAACAGACTTAGATAGATAGATAGATAGATAGATAGATAGATAATGAACAGACTGAGATAGATAGATAGATAGATAGATAGATAAATTAACAGACTGAGATAGATAGATAGATAGATAGATAGATAAATTAACAGACTGAGGTAGATAGATAGATAGATAGATAAATTAACAGACTGAGGTAGATAGATAGATAGATAGATAAATTAACAGACTGAGGTAGATAGATAGATAGATAGATAAATTAACAGACTGAGGTAGATAGATAGATAGATAAATTAACAGACTGAGGTAGATAGATAGATAGATAGATAAATTAACAGACTGAGGTAGATAGATAGATAGATAGATAGATAGATAAATTAACAGACTGAGGTAGATAGATAATAGATAGATAGATAGATAGATAAATTAACAGACTGAGGTAGATAGATAATAGATAGATAGATAGATAGATAGATAAATTAACAGACTGGGGTAGATAGATAGATAGATAGATAATAAACAGCCTGAGGTAGATAGATAGATAGATAGATAATAAACAGACTGAGGTAGATAGATAGATAGATAATAAACAGACTGAGGTAGATAGATAGATAGATAGATAGATAGATAGATAGATAGATAGATAGATAATAAACAGACTGAGATAGATAGATAGATAGATAGATAGATAGATAATAAACAGACTGAGGTAGATAGATAGATAGATAGATAGATATTGAAGAAAATTAGATAGATAGATAGATAGATAGATAGATAATGAAAAGACTGAAAGCAACAGAAGAAAAATATATAGCCAATAGCTGGCTGCCACGAGTAGGCAGGAAGATTCTATTGGCTAGCGTGAGAGCCAACAGCTGACTGACACGAATGTTAACTAGCATGCTAAAAAAACTCGATAGCTGCATTCGTCACAAGTGGGAAAAATTTAAATCTGCATGGTACTTTACTCCAATTGGCTCATTCGCTTGCTTAAACTCAACGTTGATTCTGATTCCGCAGAACTGGGTTGGGTGTGAAAAAAGTATTTTTTTGTTAACATTCTTTTTCATTCGGTTTTTCCAGTTACGAGTCTTTTTTAAAGCTCATCGTTTTGTGTTCATTTTGTTTAGTTCTTTTTCGTAACAGATTTAATGTTTGGTATAAAGCTTAGAAAAAATTCGCAGTTTGAGATAGGCAAGAAGTAAGGCATGTAGCAACATCAGCACGGCAAAGGACACTCCTTTTAAGGCAAGGAAGGGCAAAAATATTTTAAGTCAAGTGATAGCGATTGATGTATGAGTCGTACGATTTCTGAATCAAGCACGGGCAACGCCGGGCCATGCTGCTGGTATAATAATAATAATAATAATAATAATTAATAATAATTAATAATAATAAGCTTGTGGAAATGGATGGCAGATCAGTGACAGGAAGGGATAGCAAAAATTGTTTAGCGCTTCAGAGGATAGGAAGTTGATAATAATAAAGAAAAGAAAGTAAACATGGTAACAGGATTTGTACAATAATCCAATAAAAGCTAAAAAGTAAAACCCATTTACTTTGCATTGTTCGCATAGGAGTTGAATTTCTGCTGATGAAGCTATATTTATTTAGGATTACATTATTACTTGCCCTTTTGTGTTTAATCTTTGGTAACTGATAGTCTACAAGGTTTGATTGAAACTTAATACAAGTACTTTTAATACATCACTTGACAACAGCCGTAGTACTCAACTGTTATGTAATATCAATCCTTCTATGTGACAGTGAATACTGGAAGCTGTCCTCAGAAATAAAAAGATTTCAGTCAACAGAGATGCGGTTCTGTAAAACAATTCCGAGAATATCATAGATGGAGCATATGAACAATGGGAAAGTTTTAAAGAAAATGGAATAAAAAAGGACACATACATAGATACAGAAAGAGCCAGTCGAAAATTTAGGAAGATATAAAGACGACTTGGAGAATTTCACACTCATAGGACATTGACATTGAATGGGGGAGTGACAAAGAAAAACAGAAAGCAACAATCCTAATAAATTTATGCAAATGCATAATAGAACATGGATTGAAAAGGATAGTAAAAAAATCTGTCTATATTTCTGAGATGAGGTATTATGTACACTATTTACATTATTCGGACTATTGTCCACATCTTTGTCGCCATATATGTTACAACGTTTCGGCCGTTGTACGCCCCGGCCTTCTTTAGGTGGTTACAAAGTTGAACTGAACCCCTTATTCCGCTCAATGGGGCAGACTGTTCCAGTTCCACGTGCCATGTTTAATGTATATCAGTTATCAGTTATCTCCTGTTAATTCCACTCCCCAAGTTCTCCACCGCCTTAACTAGGCACTGAACGCAAACTCGCTGGGTCCTGTCACTGAATCTAACCGACGCCTTTATCCACTGTGCCATGTGTCCTCAATAGTCCGAATAATGTAGATAGTATACTAAAAAATGTTAAAAGTTTCAAAAGATAGGAAGTTGTGGGGAACTATAATCACCCATGTCCTAAAGGGACACGGCGCATAAAAAGAAAAAAAACTGATTATACTGCTATGAGTTTTAATGCTTTCTCTGCAAAACATAACCTAACAGTCTATAATTCTTCAGACCACTTTACCGTTTCAGCGTTTTTTACGGTGATGTTCACTCAGTATAAGGCCCACGAGCCACTCGATATAGAAGGGTACAGAGAAAGAAGCACAGTTTATGTAGATATCTACGTAAGATAATGGTTGAACCTAGATATGAACAGGTTAGGATTATAGTAATCGGGGAAGCATCCTCTTGGGAGTTTGGTTAGGTTTTGTAATCCAACGCTGAGATGTGTTTACAGCTTTATAATCAAAGCCTTTTCAGGATCAGGCTTTACCAGATATCCTTGATACGAACTTTAGTATGATGAAGTCCTAAATGACGAAACGCATCAAACAAAAACTTTTTCCACCTGGTCATAGATTTCCCTTATTTATATATATATATATATATATATATATATATATATATGAGTAATGAAAAGTTAGGTAGTTCGAATGAATAATCCCAAGGGGGATGTTAAATCAGAGCAATTATTAATTCAATTTAAATAGAAAACAGACAACCTTAAGGGTCCATTGGTTATAATTTACTTCCCAAAGTATATGGTTTTTACCTGGTTCATAAGATAACTATTGGTTACGTGATGGACTAGGTAAAAAATGTATTCCAAGCGCGAAAAATGTATTAAATTTACATATAGTTTTTATCTACTTGTGAGGTTTAGATTTAAGTTGATGTAATGTGATATTGAGAGAAGGGCGGGAGGAGTATGACAAACATGGTCGAAAATAGAGAGAGAAGGGAGGGATAGAAATAAATCTATTTTTATTAAGATATTTAAGTAAGGGAGGGAGTAAGGACCAGACATTAACCTATTTAATAAGTCATCTCACAGGAAACAAGATAAAAAAGAAAAAAAGAGGAGTAAAAATATAAGAGAGCAGAAGTGGAAGTAGGGTTTTGAGAAATAAAGGGAAATATAGAGTGTGTGTAAAGAATAAAAGAAAAGAAAAAGTGTAAGTTAACATATATGGGCATATTGCAGTTAATTTGAAAAAACACAAAGTTATATATTTGGCCGTTAACGTTTGACATTAAGCATTTAAAATTTTTCAACAAAATAAACTAGGAAATAAATATAATGTGAATATAATATAAATAAACAATATTACTATTATTAACATTATTAATATTATGAAAAACAATTAAAGGAGTAAAAAGTTTTTAATTAATGACATAAGATTTAAAAGTAATAATAGTATTATTTTTAAAATTGTAATAATGATAAACAGGAATTTAATAATAATAATAATAATAACAATACAGAATTACCGATGGGCGGAATAATAATAATAATAATAATAATCGTAGTAAAAATAATAATAGTAATCATACTAATGAGAAGAATAACGGTAGATTCATAATGAAGAAAAGGTAATATTAGATCAGTTATAACCTATTTAATATATATATATATATATATATATATATATATATATATATATATATATATATATATATATATATATATATATATATATATATCCATATAAGTATCTGCACATATGCAAATATTTATACACCTACACATACATGTATATATATACATATATATACACATATGCATATACATACATTACATACACACACACACACACACACACACATATATATATATATATATATATATATATATATATATATATATAAGTATGGAGTATCCATGGATAGGTCTTCCAAATGTAGTAAAGGTAGTAAATTCGTTTGGTATATAATTCAAGTGGATCCTAGTAATATAAAATAAAAACTGATCCACAAAAAGAACTCAATGTATTTATTATCAAAAGTCTGTTATTAATCAGTCAACGAATTCTATTTCTTCATCGATTGAAATAAGCTTATTTGCAATATGAAGTGATATTTGATTTATTTTTTTATATATATTTATATATATATATATATATATATATATATATATATATAGTCCCCTCCAAGCCTGTTGGATCGGCAGGGCTATTTCTTTTTGTTGTTTCCTCAAGATATTTGTCTTTAAGATAAAAAGAAGAATATGAGACAAGAGTTCAGAATTTCACCTTTTATTCTTAGTGTTTACGTGATAAACAGCTGAGGACATAAACCAAGAGTTGTCGTTCAGAGCTATTTAATGTTTAAACAATCAATCTAAAAAGCAATACCTGAGCAACAAGAAACGCCTGTCAGTCACGTGTTCCATTAGTTGTGGCGGCTTGAAAACTGGGTAGGTTCAAGCAAAAGGTAGTATGCCTTAAGTTGTTTAACACATCTAAATACCAGAAAATGAAAGATAGAATTCTGAAATCTTGTCTTATATTCATCTTTTTATCTTAAACGGAAATGTTTTCAGTGAACAATAAAAGAAAAAGACAATTGCCATTCTAATACTCTTGAAGAGAACTGCATATATATATATATATATATATATATATATATATATATATATATATATATGAAGACATGCTGCCTAATTACACCCCTAATTATATATATATATAATTAGGGGGTGTAATTAGGCAGCATATCTTCATTCAAACTTGTTTCAGTGAATAATATAGGCATATTATGTCTATTCATTTTATAATAATCCTTTCTAGTTCTCTCATCAGTTTCTTCACGTTTAAATTAAAAGTCGGCGCCTGGCGATGATATATATATATATATATATATATATATATATATATATATATATATATATATATATTTCAAGAATAAGAGAAATAACAGATGGAGTAAGAATCCACAGTTCTTAGCATTTACTTTTAAAAAGTACTCAATAGAAAGCAGAGCTAATTATTATTACAATATTTTTTATTATAATAGATTACAATAAAAACATTTTACATCGCTATTTTGTAGCTATGCAAAATGTTTTTTATTGTAATCTATTATAATAAAAATATTATTATAAAATTTATGTATATATATATAAGTGTGTTTGTGTTATAAGCTGGTCTGGTTAAGACCGAACAAAACCTATTTCTATTTAAACGAAGAAGGTTTTGCAGATTTTATAAATATTATGTCACAAAATTTCAGGTGGAAGCCTGACTGCTAATGACTCAAAACAATGAACATATCCTAATAAATAATTGGCACTGCACAATAGATTTGTTTCAAATAGATTTGTTTTATGCTTTTTGCTTAAATGTACAAATTTTATATTATTTCAAAAATAAGTATTTAAACTTCATACATTTTTCAACATTTACGAGTGAAGATATTCACTGATTATCGGGAGATATCGCATTCTGTGTGCCTTATATATCAATGCTCTTCATTACATAAATTTCTGATAAACTATCTTTGAACTGAAACCTTGAAAATCGGAAAATCCTAATATACCATTGTTTCATAATTTTGCGTTGCTTGTCACTGCAAATATTTTTCGAAAGTTTTATGTTTCATGTTGTACGACTTGATGGAGAACACCTATGGTGTAAGATCTCCGGTTGAAAACAAAATCGTGCGAAGGAAGGGCAGAAAAAAATTGTCTAGCAACTAAGTGAATATATATATATATATATATATATATATATATATATATATATATATATATATATATATATAGATATTTATATATATCGTCCGATTGTCTACACTTCACTGGAACAGGAGTAAAGGTTTATCCCTTGTTTCCTGTTTAGGATTGGATTTCTGGTTCCTTCTAAAGTCTAGTTTCACATTATATTTCTAACATCTGAAATGTTATTCACTAATTAAATCTTGACACCCTCAAGCCTAGAATTAGCTGTTATATTTCTTGCATAAGAACATCATTTCTTGCTCTTTCTTACGTTAATACTACACCCTCTATCTTGAGTGACTCTTTGGCCTTGTAGTGGGTGACTGTTAATGAATATATATATATATATATATATATATATATATATATATATATATATGTGTGTTTGTGTGTGTGTGTGTTTGTGTCACGTGGGAGAAGTGTGCGGCATAACCTCACATCGTCTTGTGTGAATAAAGATGAAGATTTTTTATTCAAACTGGAAAACGTTAGATAACCTCTACCATTTCGTCTTGCTGAATAAAGATGAAGATAGATTTTAAGATAAAATATTAGAATTAGATAGATAGATAATAGATCATAATGAATACTAAGATAAAATATTTACGACATAGATAGATAGATAGATAGATAGATAGATAGATAAAATATATGAGATAGATAGATAGATAGATAGATAGAATGAATAGAAGATAAAATATATATAGAGATGAACACATAGATAGATAGATAGATATGATAAGATAGATACATAGATAGATAGATAGATAGATATGAATACTAAGATAAAATATATAGAGATGAACACATAGATAGATAGATAGATAGATAGATAGATGAATAGATAGATAGATAGATAGATAGATAGATAGATAGATATGAACACAGTAAAATTAATGTAGAGAGATATGAAAACACGAAGATAAAATACATAGATATATATGAGCAGACTAATATAGATAGATAGAAATGAGCAGACTAAAATAGATAGATAGATAGAAATGAGCAGAGTAAAATAGATAGATAGAAATGAGCAGACTAGATAGATAGATAGATAGATAGAAATGAGCAGACTAAGATAGATAGATAGATAGAAATGAGCAGACTAAGATAGATAGATAGATAGATAGAAATGAGCAGACTAAGATAGATAGATAGATAGAAATGAGCAGACTAAGATAGATAGATAGATAGATAGATAGAAATGAGCAGACTAAGATAGATAGATAGATAGATAGATAGATAGACTAAGAAATGAGATAGATAGAGATAAAATAGATAGATAGATAGAAATGAGCAGACTAAGATAGATAGATAGATAGATAGATAGAAAGAGCAGATAGATAGATAGATAATGAAATGAGCAGACTTAGATAGATAGATAGATAGATAGAGATAATAGATAGACAGAAATGACAGACTAAGATAGATAGAGATAGATAGATAGAAATGATAGATAGAAAGAGCAGATAAGATAGATGATAGATAGATAGATAGATAGACAGAAATGAGCAGACTAAGATAGATAGATAGATAGATAGAAATGAGCAGACTAAGATAGATAGATAGATAGATAGATAGATAGAAATGAGCAGACTTAGATAGATAGATAGATAGAAATGAGCAGACTAAGATAGATAGATAGATAGATAGATAGATAGATAGATAGATAGATAGATATTCTCAAAGGCTTAGATGTATTTGCCTTCTTGCTTGTGCTCATAGCCAAATTACACTCCCACGAACATATACGTACAGAGTTTACACTTCTTTCTTTTCAGCCTGTCTAGATTTATGATTTCTATAGTTAAAGCTCAAGGAAAAAGAACAACAGCATCGCGTTGATAAGTAATATAACATCCACTCACTAATTCGCTTGAAAAGTCAACGCTATAGATTTTTCTTTCTTTTTTATTTTCCACAGGTCTGTGTATGTCATCAGAAGAAGACACGCTTTTATAAATTGTTATTACTCGCTTCTCTTGATAATATTGATGGAGAGAAAAACATTTTTGTCTCCACACTAATAGGCACGTAATCACTTATACACGCCCAAATGCTCTCATATTTTCAATCTTATTCTCATATGTACGGAAAGCATACGTTTGCAACCACTCCCACAAATATCTTTATGTATATATTCAATCTACACCGGACTAAGTGAGAGCGTATTATTCACCATAATATTATCTGCGTATACTTTTGTTCAAAAGTAATAAAAAAGACATTAATTTGTTCTAGTCCTTGAAAAAGGTCACCCCCAAGCCGAAAACTCGATTTTACTATATAGGCAATAAGAATGAAACCTCAAAATATTTCAGAATCTTTATTTTTCAATTTGCTAATGATGCAATTGTATAATACTTATGTATTTTTCAACGCATTTAACGTTTTATAGCTATAGCATTACATACAACAACCTTACAAAAAAGATAAATTGCAAACATTCAGAAGCTTAATTTTCAATTTGCTAATGGTTGCGCTGGCATGACTACCGATCCCACCTCTCTTTTGCAATAAGATATGGGTACACCCTCGTGCAGTTATTCCCCGGTACCGGGTACTTCTCAGTATTTTTTTTTCCAAGCTGCGTCTCTGTAGTCGGGCAGAGACACAAATGTGTAGCACTCGACCCAAAGACAGAGACAACAACTGAGAGGTGATAATCCTACCCGAGAAAACTCGGTATTAACCCAAGACTACCCCACAGGGGGGGGGGGTGATGATAGCACAAAGCCGGGTTTTAACGTGGAGCTTTCCGAAAAACATACGCTCGGGCAAAAATTTCAGTATTTATTGCATTAAAAAATACAATTATGGCACAAGGCCGAAAAACTGGGGAGGGGTTGAGGCTGGTCTTAACTAACTATCCTATACCTAACTAATCCGATTCACGACCCATTCATACATTACAATTTCCACATTCACCACAAGAACTCGTCCGTCACCAATCAATCCTCCCATACACCATAATACCACATCATCACTAGGGAGACCTACAAAACGCGCCCGGTGACATAAAAATTTAATGATGCTAAAATATATTTAAAAATCTATGATGAAAAAATGAGAGTAGAGGGAGATGAACCCAATAAGAAACTAAAATATTAACACAAATCAAATTAAACATAACTGATGCTAGTAGGGCCCGTTCAACAGAGAGGGCTCGGGTAAAAATTTCTCGCTATTTAAAATCCTACCCACGAGGAATATATGTGGCACAAGGCCGAGTTTAAAGTGGGTTTCTCCGAGCCCGTAGGCTCGGCCAAAAATATAGCCTTCGAACCCGCCTAGGCGGGTTCAGGCCCTGTCTACCTCCCCGGACGAATCCTTGTCCTTCGGCAAAGTTTCGTCCGGGTTCCTCTCTGGCAAAGCAGAGAGTTCGACAGACGTCAAGACTGTATCGCGACGTATCTCAATTAAAAATTTCTCTGCAACCTCCTATACGATTTTAAAAATTACTAACAATAGCACTTAAAACTTTAGCAGTGACATTTAATTTGCATAAATATTTTCAAAAGCCTATTCTTGCTTGATGTCTTGTCTTGTCTGTTCTTGTAGATGTCTCGTTGAAAGTGATTTTTATAGAGAGAGTTTATAGTTTTCCCTGTCCATAGGACGATTATTCGGGTAGTGAAATGAAAAAAAAATTTAATTCGTGTCATTCATTTTTAATTTAAATTTTAATAATTCTAATATATAAGTAATATTTCTGTTGATGAAGTTTTTTTTTTATTCATCGTGATTGTATGGAAAATAATTTTTTATCTCCCTTGTCAAAATTCAACATTGCAGAAAAATATTTCGTGTGTTTGCATTTAAAGAGAAAAACGTAAGATAAATGAAATCTTAGTTTCTAAAATTAAGGTTTTTTTTAACGAACGGACATAAAGTCAGAGAATATTAAATATTTTATAGAATTCTATAAATTTAAATTTGATAACGATCTTGCTGCCTGCAGCGTTTGTACAATCCATTTTTGTTTTCTGTCATTTCACATTACATTATATTAGTCTAGCTGAACCGAAGAAAATTACGGTATTATATATTTGAGTTAAAATAATCTGTTTAATAATGTTTTCTTAAAAATGTACCTGAATATCTAAACAACTAAAAATAAGAGAGTAATTTTCCTAAATTATTATAATTATAAACATTAGAAAATTATTCAAATGCTTCTCTCGTGGTCAACTCTATGGAGCTGGTTACACATGGGCTTAGTATAATGACAAAAGGAAAATAGATGTCTTGTTGAAAGTGATTTTTATAGAGAAAGTTTATAGAGTTTTCCCTGTCAATAGGACGATTATTCGGGTAGTGAAATGAAAAAAATAAAAAAAATAGAAGAAAACTGATGTTAACATACGTTGTAGTTTTACCTCATTCCAAAGGAGATGATAATAATTATATTATTTATTAATAATTTTGGCTGAGTCGGATCTAACACCGGTACCCTCTAAACAGAGGGGAAGCAGGGTTTTTTTATATAAAGGAGGTGGATTACGGCCAAGTCGCGTTTAAACACTTATTCTCGTCCGATCACCGTAGTTAAGCAACGTCGAACCTGATGGGTGACCGCTTGGATTATACCAAGTGCTGTAAATTTGGATGTGCGATTACATTACACCAATGGATAACGGCTCAAATTACACATTACACCAATGGATAACGGCTCAAAATTGGAAATTGAAGAGCTGAATTCAAAGTTCAGTTTTGATCGTTATATTCAGTTACATGCAAATCCTCTTGAGAAATGTATGAGTCTACCTCTTCCCCTCGATATGGGTTAAATATCAGTAAATCATTATCTACAACAAATTCTTACAATCCAATTATATTTTCTGGTTTTAAATATCTTGAAAAAGGTTGATAAGCCGTCAAAAACCAATTAATCAATCAAAATAGAGGAGGCGCTGCACGAATTTAAACATATTTATTTCATTTCGTTTTTTCACTTGTTTTCTGTGTTTCGCCGCACATTTCAAACATTTCTAGAAATCCACCAGCAAGAAAAAGAACCTCTTTTTCTATATAATCCTTTCTTTTTTTTGTTATTTTTTTTTACTTTTTGTCAGGAAGTCATTTGAATTTTTTTTTTTGTTATATATAAACTGAAATGTCAAAACGATCAGACTACACTACGCTGAATGATTTTTGCGTTCTTTCATTTGTAAAAAATGGGTTTATCCCGAAAAAAAATATTTGTGCCGTTAAATGTAAAGCAGTTGTATAGCTGGACAGGCATTTCAACGCGAAAAGGATTGAATAGAGTTAACCAGGCAACGGAACCAGAAAGATGAAGCGGTATATTGCTGAGATGACAATAGCTCGAGGTTTTTAAACGGAAACCAAAAGCAAGAATATACCTGGAATATGTAAATTCCAGATACATGTCAGCGGCACATGATAACTGCGAATATAAAAGTGAACATAGAAGTCAACACTTACAGACGACAGTCTGTTTCATGCTAGATGCAATCGTCAGGCCACCTGACGATTGCTTCTAGCATTAAACAGACTGTCGCCTCTAAGTGTTGACTTCTATATTCACTTTTATATTTACACACGCCCTATCTCTGATATTGAGCCCTTTATCCCATAAATATACCACATCTTCAGACTATATTTCTTCATATATATATATATATATATATATATATATATATATATATATGGTATGGATGTAGATAGATAGATAAAGATATATTGTTTTTTGATGTTCATCCTGTACAACGCACAAGAACCACTCGAGGGAGAGGGTTACAGAGTAAGAAACACAGTTTATGAAGATATGTGGGGAAGATAACGTTTAACTCTTGGACTTGAACAGATTGTTAAGATTATAGAGACCGAGAAAGCATCTTCTTGGGAGTCGATTTCACAAAGCAGCGATTCGTGGAAAGGAGCTACTCTAGTGGAACTTACACCTCACCAATCGAATACGAAGGGAATGAGGGTCGTTCGCTACAACATGTGTGGCATGTCAGGGATTAGCTGTGAAATTTAAAACTGGTGGGACTAAGGGATGGAGTTCATTTGAACATTTTTAATGGAAATAGTGATGGAGCAGCTTTTAACGTATGTACTTTGGCGTGTACCCACTTATATTTCAATATAATGACAAGTTTAAAAATCTTTATTCAAATTTAAAAATAACATTTTAAAATATATTACATTTATTTCTAAATCGTTTTTTAAAGTTCTATAACATCTCATAATTATTTCATTTTTATATTTTAAAAATTTAAAAATGAAATAATTATGTGAGCTTAAAAAATAAAGTTTTCATTTTTCTGTTTTTCGTTTTCTTTTATGTTTCCAACTTTATGATTTTATCGCTCAGCCCAGAGTATGCGTTGTCCAGACTGAGGGAGAGGAGAACGTATTCCAATGTCTTATTTCAAACTCCTTCAATGTTTGTACGCATGCGTGTTTGCGTATACATTAAATGATACAAATGCATGTAACACACCTCTCTATATACACATTACATACCGCACGTGCAAAGTAACACGAAGAACTCTTTTTATAATATAGTATATATAAATATAGTACATAAATATAAAAGTGAACATAGAGGCGACAGTCTGTTTCATGGTGGATGCAATCGTCAGGCCGAGAAAATAACACCACTCGTGGCCTAACGATTGCATCCAGCATTAAACAGACTGTCGCCTCTAAATGTTGACTTTATGTTCACTTTTATATTTACACACGCTCTATCTCTGATATTGAGCACTTTACCCCATAAATATAGCACATCTTAAGACTATATTTCTTCATATATATAGTACATATATATATATATATATATATATATATATATATATATATATATATATATATATATATATATATATAGAATACTTTAATATAAAGTATTCCAATATCTTATTTTAAATTTCTCCAAACCATGTGCATATCCGTGTTTGTACCTACATTAAATGGCACTAGCACATGTCACACACCTCTCCATCATGCAAAGTAACACAAAGAACTCCTTTTTTATAATATACATTTTCATTTTGTTCACTTGCACTAAATATGGATCAGTTTAATTCAAATTCGCAACTAGAACTAAAAAATATGGGATTTTATTTCTTGAGGTCAGTGTCAATTATAATATATCGACGTTCGAAGGGAAATCCTTGCCATATACAAATTTAACTATTTCCCGCCAAGTTCAGCTGTTTTAGCCACTCGTACCGCTCTCGTAGCGTTCTGTGGCGGCTGGAAATGTAATAGGCTAAAATGTCAGCGAGGCCCACGAATAGAGAGAGTTTAATGAAGACAAACAGCGTCATTTGACTACGCAAATAGTCGACGTCCGAACAGACTGAATGATAGTGATGCCGTCGCATCTGCAAGAGAAAACATACGATAGCTAAGAAAACAAAACATTATGTCACTTCAGACAAACTGTCTGGAATTTCCTCTGCCATAATACACCGATCACATAGACACGCTCGCATGTACCATAAAAAAAATGAACATATGTATGTCTTTGTATATATATATATATATATATATATATATATATATATATATATATATATAGTTTTAAGGTGTGCTTTATTTATGGGGGTAAAGTGCTCAATACCAGAGATAGAGCGTATGCAAACATAAAGTGAACATAGAAGTCAACACTAAGAGGCGACAATCTGTTTCATGCTAGACGCAATCGGCCTGACGTTTGCCTCCAGCATAAAATAGATTGTCGCCTCTTAGTGTTGACTTCTATGTTCACTTTTATATCCATATATATATATATATATGTGTGTGTGTGTGTGTGTGTGACGTCATTTCTAGTGAGTATTCATATTTGAGAAGACACTTTGCTTATTTATTGAATAGTATATTTATTTTTTTCTACCGGCCCGAATATTCGAGAAATCTTATTAAAGATAAATAAGCACTCTCCGACAAGATTAGAACCTGTTTCCCCTGTGTTTAGAGGGTCTCGGTGTTAGATCCGACTCAGCCAAGAAGAATTATTCAACCTTGCTCGATTGACAAAAGGTCTTCGTGGTTTGAGAAGGGAAAAAGCATATCGGATCTAATGACAGTTCTCTCTGCCCAGGGGAGGCGGGGGACACAGGTTCGACCCTGCCGGAGAGTGCATATTTATCATTAATCATCCCAAATAAGACAGTAATATCATTAAGACACTAGGGGTTACAGGTTTTGGAAGAATTAGGAACAGAAACATTAATGATGAGCAGAAATAGAAGAGAGTTATCAGGTGGACAGTAGATAGCGATTGATATTGCATTTAAATTTTGGCAGATTAAAAATGTTGGCTGGAAAGCATTGAGTCAGAAGGGAGTTCCACAAACGAGAATTGCGTGAGAAGAAACATGTATATGCACAAAAACTGAGTATCTTCTACCAGGTATTCAGTTGTGAAAGCAGAATAAAATATATTGTATTTTTATTACTTCAAATCTCTCAAGAAAATTAAATTTCAGTATTAAATGATCCATAAGGAGTTGATATACCGTTAAATAAACAAATCAAATCAAAAAGTAATCATTTGACTCTTTAACATTCCTCAATATCCTTCTAATATATTTTTTTAATAAGAATCATCCCAAACAAGGCAATAATGCCACTAAGACCCAAGGGGTTAGAAGGTGCAGAAGAATTAGGAACAGATACATTAATGATAGGCAGAAAGAGAAGACAATAATAAGGTGGACAGTAGATTTGCAGATTAAAGTTGGATGGAAAGATGGTAGCCGGGAGGCAGTACCAGTAGCGAGATGTACGAGACTATTATCATAGAATTTACAGTCATATCTACCCAGCTCAATTATAAATCGATGAGATCTCAACACTATTCTAGTGCTGCGCTTAAATTTAAAAAAAACTATATACTATAGCGAAGAGCTCATTCGAACAATTACCATGAAATTATTTGTAGAAAAGACACAGGGCGGTAGGAAAGTGACTGAATCTGAGCTACCAGATCAGGGCTAATAATATTGCTAATTCTTCTATGGATTTTATCAAGCAGCTCAAGGTAAATAGCAGGGGTATCAGACCATATGTGGCAGCAATATTCTAAGTATGGGCGAATGGTAGATATAGATATGTAAGATAGATTCTGGTGACAAAAATTGTCTCACCCGACATAGTGAACCGACTTTCTTAGCAGTTGACCTAACAATGGATTCAATATAGTCTTTCCATTTCATATCAGCAGAGAACGTGAACCCAAGAAGGTGCAACGTGTCACTTTCCTGGGGGATAACATCAGCTGATGGAAGTCAGGAGTCTTTCAAATGATTAATGGTTAACTACGGATCTGAGGTGGTTTTGCATATCAGCTGCCATTGTCAACCTGATGTCTTACTATCGAAGTAGGAGTAAATTGCTGTGTCGTTAGCGTAGATACCAAGTTGTGAGCTGATCTCATCAGGAAGGACCTTGATGAAAATTAAAAATAGACTAGGAGCAAGGATGGACACCCTGGAGGACACCCGCATTAGTACGAAAGAATCTAGACAAATAGCTATTCAGGATAACTTTCATTTCAAGATTTGGTAGGAAAAACTGGATCAGTTCCAAAAAAATGTCCGGAGACACGGGAACTTTTCAGCTTGTGGAGAACACCGGAATTCCAGACCCTATCAAAGGCTTTCGAGATGTCCAATGCAATAGACTGGGCTTCACCGTTTTTATGTAGAGCACGATAAACTCTTTCCGCAAGTATCATCAGTATATCAGCATTTGACTGTCATATTGCTAGTCTGAGAAAAGGCCCTGCGATGGAAGATGATGAAACAATTCAGCATTGATTAGGGCCTCTAGGACTTTTCCCAAAAAGCGATAGAAGGCTAATATGCCGATAGTTAGAAGGGTCATATGGTTTACCAGAGTTCTTAAAAACTGGAACAACAGACGATGACTTTCAGGAGGTAGGAAAGCAGGTAAGTTTAATAAATAAATGGAGCCTATACCACCAAAATAGACCTATGTGTATAGGTATTTGGTATGTTTCTTTGGTGTTTTTTTTAGTGTCTGATCTTCAGGGTCATATACAGAACCCAATATATGTCTGAAAATATACCCGTAACATATGCGAGGTGCAAATCCCACAAAAATTCGAGGTCTTGTCATTTTTTGAGATTATGGGAAAAGATCGGGCCGAGAACCTTTCTAAATCCCAACCTCGTATAACGTTTAATACTTATTTGGCATTTGTTACCCATCTAGATTCTAACCAAGCACAACGTTGCTTAATTTCGGTGATCGTACGAGAAACAGGGTTTCAAAGAGGAGAATCGATTTAAGAATCGGAAAAGAAGTAAAGAAAGAATTGACGATTAATAGAGAAAGGGGAGAGATAGAGAGAGAGGGGGGGGACAATGAATGCTTATTCAACGCCCTGACCACACCCAATTCTTGGACCTGGAAAAATCCTCACAATGTACACACAGCACAAGAAACACACTTTCACATTCAGACGCGTGTACACGTGAAAAAACGATAGTCTCCCGATGAAATCAAAATATTTACCTAGTTTTGTTAAAACTGTATATTCTTAACAGCCGTTTAAATGTTTTCTCTCTTTCCGAAAAAAGAGTTTTCTTCCTCCGACTACGATCGCTGCTCCGACTTTAAATAGTGATTTTCCAAGCGTAGCTTAGATGTGGCACAAGGCCGAAAGTATGAAGCACCCAACTTTAAATATGACGATTGTTATTGTAACTGCTGCATCTACTATCTTATTTCATATTTTTTCATTCTTTGTTTTTGTTTTTTATTTCAATGTTTTCATTCATTTTCAGGAAAGAATCAAGATAAATATTGCTAAGAGGTTGCTATCTAATGTCTAGCTCAGGGGTATCCAAACATTTTTCAAAGATGGCCAGATTTGATGAAGTTGAGGGCCTTTTTCATCATTTTTTAGAAAGGTTTTGGAGGTACCTAATTTAAACGATCGTTCATTGCTACCGGGGGTCCCACTGTTAACCAAGAAAATATTCTCCATACCATTACATCTCTACTGTTGAACCGTTAACATAAAGCAAAATGGATCCATACTTTTATGTCATTTACGACAAATTCTCAAGAAAATGAGACTCATCAGATCAGGCAACGTTTCTCCAATATTTTTTGTCCATTTTTTTCAATCTTTAGCAAATTATATTCTCAGTTTCTTTTTTTTTCCTTTTCTGATAGGAGTCGTACCGCCATGATCTTTTACTTCTGCTTTAAGTTTCCACTTATTATTCATTCAAATATGCTATTCTGTATATTTCCATTGTAAAATGGGATTTCCTTTAGCACGAAGGAAGTTCCAGTCAGAAAATAGAAATATAGTTCTATAGAAGGATGATGAGAATATTATGTAATGACCATGTGGGTAACAAGGCGGGTTTAGAAAAATAGAAAACAGATCATATTGATACTTACAATCTGAAAAAGGGTTGAAATTTCTAGCGCATAGAAGGAAAAAAGAGGATTTGGAGAATCTGAGATTCACAAAAAATTGAATTCAAGAGGAACAGAGAAAAACAGCACATGGCCTACCTAAAGTGTTTGTTTATATGGTTAACAGAATAGTTATTATAAACATAGCAAAAAGACAAAATTTACTAAGGCCTACAAAGTACAGGAAATAGTAGAGAGCTGGAAGTGACACATCACATAGAACAAATCGGTTAAATAGCTGAGTAGAATAGGCTGTCTAGACTTTAATAGCCAGTCTATGAGAGGGACTACTCTGTATTCAAAACCGTGGAGAAAATAACGGAAATCTACTCCTCTACATTATATTTCAGTGATAATAATAGACAGGGAAACTGTGGAGAGCCGCGATCGCTAATGTCTTGGATTAAATTGGGGTTAAGATTAACCTGGTTATGTAACAGATGTCGACACGGAAAATCGAATCACTGAGATGAGTGTAAAATCTTACCAAATCGGTTATGTTCACTTTCGACACAAATGCTCCTTGAAAAAGGCAACGTTTCTCCAAGATTTTTTGTCCAATTTTTTCAATCCTTAGCGAATTACTGACTCAGTTTCTTTTTTTTTCCTTTTCTGATAAGAGTCGTACCGCCATAGTCTTTTACTTCTGTAGCCCATCTGTTTCAAGTTTCCACCTATTATTCAAAGATGCTTTTCTCTATACTTCCATTGTAAAATGTGGTTTCCTTTAGCACGAAGTCCCAGTCAGACTGCTTCTCCCCAGGAACTGTTACGTTATGTAATACACTAACGAACGCTTTCCCGTTCACTATAATCTTAACCTCTTCAAGTCCAGGTTCAACCGTTATCTATCCTACATATCCACATAATCTGCATTTACATCCCCCACTCCCATACGTCCATACAAAAACTTATTCAGTAA